ATTTGAGTGGAATCACACAATATTTATCTCCACATTTTTTAACTTCCAAAAAACTGGAATGAAGTACAACGCGCAAGATGGCCGTTTCTCTCTAGGTTAAATTACCTCATTGTCTTTGAAACCCCTTTCTTTACCCCTCAGTCCTTCTGGAGGAGGGGCAGAGGCTAGAGACAGAGCTTGAGGACGGTCACTAATAGGGGTATTTGAGTGGAATCACACAATATTTATCTCCACATTTTTTAACTTCCAAAAAACTGGAATGAAGTACAACGCGCAAGATGGCCGTTTCTCTCTAGGTTAAATTACCTCACTGTCTTTGAAACCCCTTTCTTTACCCCTCAGTCATTTTGGAGGAGGGGCAGGGGCTAGAGACAGAGCTTGAGGAAGGTCACTAATAGGGGTCCTGCACTGACCAGACCTGATGTCCCATCTCTTTATGCAAAATAACCCGAGGTTACAGCAGGTGAATGTCCCCACAGAAGCACAGTAGACCATTCCACTTAGGCCTGAGAGAGTGGCCAGACAGGTGTCCTTCGGAGGTCGTAGGCAAGGACCTAGCCTTTATTGTTTCTTCTGGAGCGATGGACTGACCCAGCACCCTTAATTCTCCCCGCAACCCCACCGGAAAGACCAAAGTGCAGGGCTCTTGGTGCGGACAAGGAACAAGAACGGAGCAGGAACAGCTATTCAGAGCCCACCTGCCCTGCTCACTGCCTGGGACACAGCCCACAGGACCTCCTGCCTGGGAGCATCAGTCCTGTTTCCTGTCACTGAGGGAGGAGAAAGACTGTGCATTGAAGTCTACTGAGGGGACCTGAGTTACACCACCAGCCAGCCTGCAGCTGTGAGGAGCTCTTAGAAACACACAGGCCAGGCAGCCTGCTGTGGGGCCTCCAGAGGAGGTGCAGGCACTGGACAGGACTTGGAGTCAGTCTGGCCACCTACTGGGTCTGGCCACTCAGGAAAACGCCAGCACAGAGTGGAGCACTTCTTCTGGGGATCACTGTGGTCCCCACTTTCTGGCTTGTATCCTCTGGCCTCCCCTGTGTGCTTGATGGTCTGAGTGGCCTGCAGCAGTGAGGGCT